GTCGTTAGTTTAGAAAATAGACCGGATATTGCATCGTTACAATGATGACCTCTTCATTTAAATTGAATACAAGGCATCCAAAAATTGTATTCTGGACCCGTATGGTCCACCTCAAATTTTAATTATTTTACTCTTGCACAAGGCACGATAATGGCTTCTACACTAGCGAAAACAGAAAATGTCTCGTGTAGCTGAAGCAAAAACGTCAATTCAGTCTGGAGGTCAACAGGGAATATTGAATATAAATCAGGACTCTATTGCATTTTCTCATTAATAACAGGAAACGTGATGAGAAATACAATATAATGAATACATTTGTATAATGCACCAACAGGCAATACAATTTTTCTCTCTCATATTTGAAAGATTATTTTGCCGCATTTTAAGATAGCTGTGCTGCACTTTCAGAGAACAAAGGAAAAAATAATATGCTGCCGCCATTCGTCTCGACAGAGGAACATTTTTGAAAGTTAATTACTTTTAAAGCGCGGAAAATATTTGGCTAGTCCACGTCTCTAACCAGTCATATCTCGTGATCTACTTTGGCAACAGTGTGAGAAACCAAGTATGCTGCTTCACTTAGTCGGAGTAGCTTTGTGGTGCAATGGGATGAACTGGTTTAACAAAACACCATAAATGTTATTCATTACATGTTAGGTCATTCTACACCTAACTTACTCTTACATCGCTGCCATCTGAATAATCAACATGTCTATGCAAAATCCGTTTTTTACCAGCACACTGATTGACAAAAATGACCGGTATTGTTGACCTTGATGCCCGCACGTGGAAAAGTTTTTATACTAGAAACGTCAGTCGACCCTATTAATAAACAAGATGAGGAAATGTATGCCTTCTTCTGTTGGTGTTTGTCAATTAATCACTGCCTCTCTGTATGTATATATATATATATATATATATATATATATATATATATATATATATATATATATATATATATATATATATATATATACACACACACGCACACACACACACACAAGCCTCGTTCAATAGTCTAATATAAATACATCCCAATAACACTTTCGGTATGTAATACTTATAATTATAGTACACAGCGTGAACAAATTAATCAACTGGAATGAGTATTGCCCTGACTAAGGAATATTTATGTCGGTCCAGACATTATATTCCAGAAATGGAAAATATTAGGCGCCAGCATATATTTAGCAGTAGACGTGGCTAATCAGTTTCTTCATTCATTTGAATTTGATGACACTATGTTGATTTTGTGTACAGTATTACTGCATATTGCAAAAGTAAAACGAATTGTTTTGATTTTATTCGAGAAAGTAATCAAGTTTCCCAACGCTTAATATCCGTCCATTTAGTTAATTCTTATCTTGGCCTGGTCTTAAAATCACAGGCCTATAATCCGTCAAATGGCAATGGAGAAGCGCTGCTCTAATGACAGATTGAATGTGTGCTTGCATTAAAATAGTCAATCATCAACGCAAAAATGGTAACGTCAATTAAAGAGAGAAAGGTCATTTTGGTAACAACATATTTAGAGAATATTCACTGTTGCATTACGAATCAAGCATATTGTTTTCTCAGATTTGTCCGAAGTTAACTACTATATCTGTAATACCGGATTTTTAAGCACAGAAGGGATATATTTACACTTGACGCACATTCATTCGTTTCGTTAGGAGATAACAGCTCTCTAATTAAATTACCCCAAAAGTACAATAATAAAATTGTTGCACAATAAAACCTTATTGTCTTGTTCAATAATTATGGTAACCATTATTAGCATGCAGTTCTTTTTCCCTATAATTTTCTTTATTTATGCTTATTTTTCTCTATCTCTCTCTTTTTTCAGTTTTGTATAACATCAGCAGAACATATTTATGAGTGTCTGCGGTTACTGTGCTGATCCTGATATAGTTGAATTGATGCTGAGAACTGGTGATGGAATTATGTAAAACAAACTACCAGATGGCTAATTTCGTAGAATTGAAAAATTTCTGCAGAACAGCTATGTTAATTTGTGAAATTCAGTAACTTTGTTAATTTATCTGAACAAATAGTGATATGCCCGTCATATATCATAGACGTAGGAACAAGAGCGCAATAGAATGGCGTATTCATAATATCGAAACGATAATCCTTATTAATATGACGTGATTTATGACTTTCCAATATTATTTCAAACTTGAGACAAAAAATATTTTAATTTTAGGAGATATCTAGAATGTATGGTACGAGACGGTATTATTCCTGGTAAACCAAGTAACTGCGTAACGTGTTCATAATGCGTTTATTAAAACCGGAATTGACTGATACGTCTTAAAGGTCGTCGAGACGAAATTGGGATACATAGTTCAATATATAGGTCACGATCTTTACGTGTTCCTATAAATAACCTAAACAGTAATGCCGATCCTTTGAAATTATTGAATAACACAGGTATTCGGTACATACGATCGTTTCGATTTGATTAATAGAAGTCATTAAAACATGCGTTGGAATCGGTAAAACAGGTAGCTTAACTAATTTGCTGGGACTCAACAGTGTCAGCAGCAATCATTTCTTCTATTTTCTAATTCTTCACAAATGTTTTCGATTGTGGCAAGCATTGCTTGCTCTAAAAGCGGAAACGTTTTCGAATTTCGAGCAATTGCCGTTACATGTTTTTAAAACGATTATCGATCTGTCAGGTATAGGAGATATTACCTCCATATCGAATAAAAATACCGAGAATGTTATTATTTGTTTTTGTGTCAGCATATACATAGTACTTGCTAATGTGGCATTGTATCTTGTTGTGCGTAATTTAAATAGATATTAAACTATTGTACAATTCAAGGGCAAAATTTATCTCTTTTGCACATTTGAAGGTTGCAAAACACCTTCATGAAATTAACTCATTTAATAATGAGATTGTTGTTTTAAACTGAATATTCATTGCAATACGTATTGGATTTAACTCTGAAACAATTCCATTTATGTAGCTACATTTGATATTCTGTGACAATATTTGATAAATTCAACTTAAAATTCCTTGAACGACTGATTTTAAAGTATGAATCCAATAGTCGGCTGAATCATGCAATAGTGGGAGAGGTTGGAGATGACCCATAGTTTGAATTGTTTTTGTTCTGATACTGCGTACCCTGAAGTCAGAGTTACAAACAAACACAATCCTACGAACCAAATCCATATTCCATCCATACCTTAAAGAGAGAGAGAGAAAGAGGTCTGAGAGATTTTGTGCCAGAAAGAAGAAAACCAAATAGAAGATATGAAGAAAGAATAGAATGGAGAATAGGACTATCTCTCCCATATACGAAGGAATTACCTTCAGAATTTCGTATTGAATTCAATTACGAAATATTCGACCTAGTTGTTTGCGACGTGTATTCGATTGTGTGCGTGTTCTGTGAAAATGCTTATTTTAATGCTGAAGAAACATTTTTCGTTGGTTGCCACAATGACATGGACCCATCGGCCTACTTTACGAGGTAATGTTTTCTTTACAGACATCCATTTGGATTACAAGTTTATTGACTGGGTACCACTCTGAACTATAGCCGGGCGGTGCGTGACCATTGCTTGTTTGATCATGTGATGGCTGCGTCGGTTGAGGGACTGTGTCGGCCGCATCAGGTGTCAGAGGTTGATAATCCATAGGCTCTTGGTATTACTTAAACCTTTTAGCAGGTACAAGTGATTTCATTTGTTTATTGTCGAAAAAAGGCGTAATTTGTAAGTGTTATTCTGACCTAATTCAGGGTAAAGCGTTTTTAATAAACCTACAGGTGTGTTTGTTCGCGATTTTAGGTGTATATAATCTCCAACGCGAAAGGACGGTTCCTTCGCTTACTGGGCAAACTTTTGATTGGTTGTGTGATGCGCTTCACAGATTCTCTAGCTAAATCTTGATCTATTTCAATTTTTGAATTAACTGATCTATTTAATGTGTTTGTTTCTGGAGAGTCAATTGAGTTAACTGCTGGACTCATTCTGAATGCCATCATTATGCTGGCAATATCGACGGCCAAAGTCAGTTGAGTTAACTGCTGGACTCATTCGGAATGCCATCATTATGCTGGGCAATATCGACGGCCAAAGTCAGTTGAGTTAACTGTTGAGCTCATTCGGTATGCCATCATTATGCTGGGCAATATCGACTGCCAATCATTGTGACTTTTAATTGTGCTATTCAAACGCTCACACGCAGCATTAATGTGAGGGTGATATGAACAGTTATGGTGATGTGTTACTTGAAATAGTCCACAGAATGCTAGGACAATATGAGTCAAAGTTTCGTCTACTATCATTGACAAGTGTTCGCGGTGTACCCTATCGTGTGAATATTTCGTTGTACAAAACACTGGCGATTTCCGTTGCTTTTTTGAGAACTCAAGAGAATGGCTTCATACCAATGTGACAAACTATCTGTCAGCAATAAGATATACTGGTAACCTTCCTTATTTTGGACATACACAAAATATCCATGAGCCACTGAGAAAATACATCTTCCTGAGGTAATGTGTGTAATGGGGCCTTTCGAGCATCTGTGTCCCGTTTAATAAGTTATCATAGAGGACATGATGTAATGTAGTCGTACTCATTTTGATACATTTTAGGCGAAAAGTAATTTTGTTTGATAACTTAATGTGTTCTGTTCTTTGGACACCTAAATGACAACCACCTGCTTTTGAATCATGATAAGACAGAAGAACATAGTGTCTCAAATTTGTTGGTAGAGCAACTTGTGTTATGAGTTAATCTGAGGAAGTTTTGTGTTTTGCTCGCGGCTGGAAAAACTGTTGTAAAACACCATTGAGAAGTTCATACTGACCTGCTTCATACGGAATAGTTTTTACGCAACTAGTATTTTCTGGTAATATTCCTTGCTCTAAGTAAACATACATATCCATTAAATCAGGGGACTAGCGCTGAAATTGGGCGATATATGATAGTTCTGAGGAAGGTTCACTGAGTGTGCTACTATAAGTGTGTTTGTGCTAGTGCTCCTGTGGCCTATTGGTTAGAGTGTCCGCCTTCGATGCGGGAGGTCGTGGGTTCGATCCCCGGTCAAGTCATACCAAAAAATGGTACTAACAGCTACCTCCCTTGGCGCTCAGAATTAGGAGGTTAGTGTTAGTTCTAGTTGGCCTGGTGTCAGGATAATGTGACTGGGTGGGATATCATGCTACAGGTCTGAAGCATGATGCCCCAGTGCTAGACATCACTATAAACTGCCACACTGCAGACACCGTAGCGATATTACTGAAAAATTGTTAAAGCTATGCTAAAACTCATAATCACACCACATCACCATAATTGTGTACTTCAGATAGGATTGGTATATCTTCATTAGTGTAGTATAATGTAATTTCAGTTAATTCTTTTACAGTAGAGAGAACAGATGGCTAGTATTGAGTAGTATGTGTGTCTATGTAATTTCTCCGATTCAATTTGGGTTTTATCAGTTCGTTCGTAGTGTCGACGTGAGAGTACCTCAGCATTTGTGTTTGTATGTCAAGGAGTGTATACGATGTCGAAATCATATTCTTGTAAATGACATGACCAATGAATTTGTCTATTTGAAGTGTGCTTAACCTTAACTGTCTTAAGCAACATTAGTGCTTTGTGATCTGTAATGACAGTGAATTTCTGATGTGACAAATAAACATGAAATGTTCTGATACCTTCCAAAAACAGCTAATCATTCTTGTTCAGTAACTGACCAGTGTTTTTTAGCGTCTGTCAAGGCTCTGCCACCATAAGCAATAATTTGTTCCTTATAACCTGTTCCTATTTGCGACAAAATATACCATAGAGCAGTGCCGCTAGCATCATTTGTTAACATAAATGATTTGTAAAACTTAGGAAAAGCCAAAATAGACGTTGAGGTCAGATCGGACTATAGAGTACGAAATGCTTCTTGACACATATCTGTCCAAAGAAGTTAACTGTCTTTTGTAAATAATTTATTTAATGGTGTTGCTATGGTAGAATAACCATGAAACAAATTTCCTGTAATAATTAAACAAACCTAGAAAACTAATAACATCTTTCTGTGTTATACGAACAAGGAATTTTCTAACAGCATCAATTTTAGATTCATCTACCTTGAGTCCTTTTGTTGAGAATTTATGACAAAGACAAACAACAATAGATGCTGCAAATACACATTTTGAAGGATTGAGAGTAAAGTTTGCTTGACGAGAAAGATACAAAATGAGTTTCAGATGTTTAAGGTGGTCTTCAAACAAATTGTAAAAATAATGATGTCATCTGTGTATGCAAGGCATGTTGACCATGTTATACCTCTAAGGACATGACTTTAAAGAACACAATAAGTGGCGTGTGTATTTTTTAGTCCATACGGCATTACATTCCATTGGTAAAGACCAGGAATATTTTAAAACAGCTCCTATGTTTTGTTAAAGGATCCATTTTAATCTGCCAAAATGGTGAATTTAAACCTAAAGACTGAAAAGACATGTTTGAATTTGCCCAAATGTATTAATGACATCTTTTGATCGTGGAAGAGGGAATGTCATCAGTTGTGTCATCTGGTTAAGTTTCCTACAGTCAATAGCAAAGCGATATTCACCATGTTTCTTTTTTTTACCAATCCTGCTGGGGATGCATAACTAGATGAACTAGGTTCAATTAATTTATGTTCGAATAATTCTTCTACGTGTCTATCAATTTCCTTATTAATGTGCGGTGACGCACGATAAGGTTGACAACGAATATGTATTGAATCACCTGTTTCTATTCGGTGAGTGAATACGGAATAAGGTTAACAATTTGTAAAAAGATCTTTTTATGGAAACTGTCAAAATTGTTCTAGCTGGAAGAAGTGTAGAATTTAGCATGCTATAAGACGATTCCTTTTGGGAACTTACTGATACGTACTGCGATTGTGGTTATTGAATTAGACAGAATGTTTGTAAATTTTGCGGCGCATGCGAGACCAGACATATCATTAATTAAATTAATGGCTTCCGTATCGTCTAGCAAGGAGTACGTATGTATATCTAGATTCATAACCTTTGTTCTTAGAAAGAAAACGATACCCAAGATCATGGAATTATGTAAAGCGGGTAGAACATAAAATGAATGACAGAAGCTTATGCCGTCTAGTTTCAAATTAAGTTGAACAAAACTTGAAACACTATCGTGTTCACCACCTGCATCGACTATCTGAGAAATATTTCATGGTTTTTAGTGACTTGAATTCAAACCTACACGGTAGAGAAATTTTTCATCAATTGCTGATATATGTGCCCCTAAATGAAAAAGTGCATGCGTTCCTTTGTCTCTGACGTAGATTTAAGATTTTTGTAAATGGGTGCAATCAAGTTAACATTAGGGCTATCGAGTTCGCTTGTGGCAACGTTTTGTCCCTTGAATTGTTGTTGTAAAGAGAAGCATGCTCGTAAAAATGAACTGTTTGTGACAATAGTGACTGTTTATTGCGCGCGCGACATACTCTATGTGCTGTACACCAACCGCCGCATCCGAAACAGAATGTCTATGAACGACTATGTGCTTGTTAGTGATTGCACGCACCACGAGGTAATTGATATGTGTAGCTATTGCGAAAATTGTATAATGAACTAGAGGAAAATTTTGGACATTTAGCCTGCTGGTAAGACAAATTGTGATGTTGAGAGTTAGATCTGTGTAATTGAAATGGTTTCTTTTTGATATGTACATAAGATTGAAAGAATGTATTGTTTTCTATGTTCTGTTCTGAACTGACTGCTTTAGATTCATATTAAATTTGTTTAAGTTCCTCTAACAGGTCGTAAAGTGTAGACTAATCATTGTTATCGGTCGTAACAATAAATTTCTTTGATGTAAATCAACCTTGTTTGTTGGCTTTTTGTTTATGACAATGTTTTAATGCCTGGTTTAAAACTGCAATGCAACTGCCAACAATACTTGATTTGGGGTAGTTTTGTTATTTGCAATTTGTACAAAATGACTTAGACCAAAATTATCTCAGAAGGCTCTTATCGAGTTTGTAAAATTGATAAATCTAGAATGATATTGTCAGTGTGAAAGCTAGATTATCTACCAGATTAGACCAGTTATTTGTAATAGTAATAGGTAGTGATTCATGACTTACTTGAACAAGCACTTGGAGATTAAAAGAAAAAGCATTCAAAACTTTAGCTTCTGATATGTCATAAAAGTGAGCGCATTGTACAAAATTATCTAGCCCTTTAAATGGATTCTGAGAATGATCACCTTTAAAAACATGTAATATAATAACGGAGATACCTTTATGTGAGAATCTGATGTTTCCAGAGAATAGGCCTCCAAGAAAAATTGTCTATAATATTGTGAGTCACATTAACTGAATTGAACGGCTAAACTCAGAATGTTTTTCTAGACACTGACATTATATGTGCAATTAGTTTGCCATGCAATAGTACTATTAGAATTCATTAGCACTGGAGGGGGTCAGTGATAAGGGCTGCTGCTGCTAGTTTGTTATTTTTATTTCGTAGTCGTCTGCTAAAGTCACTGGCTTTGATTTTCAATCATCGTCTACATAAAATCAAAGGAACAATGGTCGAATGTTGTGAGAGTCACTGGAACCGAACAGGGCGTTGGTAATGACGTATACATTATTACTGGCGATTTGCGGATAGTTGCCGGATATTCCAACAGGAGCGAAATAGTTGACATCAAGGATCGGGTCTTGTGAATAGGGTAGTGCTGTAACTGTAGCTGTTCTAGAAGAGGCGGCTGCATTGGGTGCGAGTCTCTCTCGTGGATCATAATTATTTGGAGTGACACCTTCATTCATCATATTCTTGCACCATTCTTTTGTTCATTCTCCACCAACTTTGTATGAAATTGTTTTCTCATACACTCGTAGCAATGTTAGAGAGAGAGAGAGAGAGAGAGAGAGAGAGAGAGAGAGAGAGAGAGAGAGAGAGAGAGAGAGAGAGAGAGAGATTCTTGCTGATCGCCTTGAAAGGGACAATTTATATCACTCTTAATCTTTTTATCACAAATTGACGGAAAATAGTTTGTGCAATAATAATAGCTAAAGGACACGTACATAATTAGTCATCTTTACATCGGAAAGAGTTGTACACATGTAATATATGTGTGTGTATTTTTACACGAAGACATTTACCATAGAGTATAATATTTAATAGCTATAGTTGTAGTCCAGCAATTCACAACGGAGATAATTGTTCGTGAAAACTGCATTGTGTTTTGTCGCAATAATAATATTGTAATAATGTAGGAAACTTTTTCATGGTTCCAAGTCTCTCTCTCTCTCTCTCTCTCTCTCTCTCTCTCTCTCTCTCTCTCTCTCTCTCTCTCTCTCTCTCTCTCTCTCATCAGCATTATACTGTAAAAATCATTAGATTAATAACATTTAAATTTGTATATAGTTTTAAATGACTCGGTTGTTAGGAATGCCTTACATAATAAACGTATTCTTTAAACCTCTTTTATTCCTGTCACAGCCGGACGAAACGACGATAGTATGAATGAATTGTGTGTCACGGTGAGAAGCTACAAACTGAATATAATGAATAAGCAAAGGCAATAGTACATTTAAATGTGCATTCATAATTAATAACCACGATAATTATGCATGTATAGCAGGAGGAAAAAGATGTTACGATTCTACTGACAACTGTTCTGATGGCAAACAGTTTTATTGTGTGTGAAACAATTTTATAATAATGCAAGGAGTGAGTTATGTTGGGGTCGTGTTCGGAGTTTGAGAAAATCGCAAATGTTACAGATAAGTACGTTCCATGAACTCTTGAATACTTCCCCTTTGCAAGTTATTCACCATTCAACAGAGTCCGCTTTAAAATAAATTCGTATGCTTTTATTAATTTTTTCTTTCCCTTACAGTGGAATGTTTAATGTGCGTCCAGTGTGCGTCGACGTTTGAACCAGAATGCGAAGATGGACATATCCTACCAAAGAACTGCACTAAGGATGAGGACAAATACTGTATCAAATACGAAGGAACCATTCGAAAAGGTCTGCACTATTTTGCTTCATTCATAGTAGAGTATTCAATTACAAAAAGAATCATAAATA